TGTCAATCGGCCATCCTTGATCCGAATTTGAAACAAATTGTCATGGACATGTATCATAACATGTACATTGTATAAAGTATATGCCAAATTTGAATAAAAACTGGCAAAGATACCACATTTTAATAAAGAAAAAAACAAGATGCCTGCATGGTCGGCAATTTTGATCCAATTGCAAAAGAAATTGTCAAGGACATGTATTCTAACATGTATAATCTATGTACCAAGTTTGAATGAAAACTGACAAGGCATGTCCAAAATACAACATTTTCAAAAAACAAGATGGCTGCCACAAACGGACGGACAGATGCACGGACGGTCAGAGGACATGTATCCTAACATGTATAATCTATGTACCAAGTTTTAATGAAAACTGACAAGGCATGTCCAAAATACAACATTTTCAAAAAACAAGATGGCTGCCGCAGATGGACGGACGGATTCACGGATGGTCGGAGGACATGTATATTAACATGTATAATCTATGTACCAAGTTATGTCCAAAATACAACATTTTCAAAAAACAAGATGGCTGCCACAGACGGACAAACGGATGCACGGACGGTCATAGGACATGTATTCTAACATGTATAATCTATGTACCAAATTTGAATGAAAACTGAAAAAGCATGCCCAAAATACAGCATTTCTAAAAACAAGATGGCTGCCAGTCGGCCATTTTGAAACAAATCGCTAAACCACTGCATGTGCATATGCCCCACATAAAGTACTAGGCACATGCAAAGAATGAACAGAATCGGTTCAATGGATTCCGAAATATGACTCCAGACAGACGCACAGACACACATACGGATACACGGACGGAGACTAAATGGAACAGGGACTAAAAAGGAAAGAAAAACAATGATGACTCCCTAATAAGCTCAATAGCGACCTCTAATTGTGAATACACAAACTGGTATTAGAAAAACCTTGTTAATTTGCGTAACCATTTATTTTATTCACAGGTTCAGTGATATCTTTGAGAAATCACGAAAAATCTAAAAATTGTTATATCCTACTAGCTGTGGTCCGTTTATTAAGATCGTTCATTTAAATAGCATTTCCACGGTCTAGTGTCTAGGAAAGTGTCTGGGCACAGTCCCTGTGGTCTGGGGTAGAGCAAAGTCCCTTGGTAATTGCCTACCGAGTGCAGGAGTTAAGTGTATGTAAATATCTTGCACCCGCTGTAAGAAGGATTAAAATCGTCTTCATCGAACAGGAAGGAGAACGTATAAGGGTGCCCATGTGAAAACAACAGTAACAGCTGGCTCATACTTACTTTCCCAGACTGCTGAGTATGGGATAAGATAAGATCTGTTCAGCAGACGGTCTTTTCGTTGGATCCTGCTGTAATATTTCGCGTACCAATGCCTGCATGTTATCTGAGTACTGAGAGTCGACCTGCGACTGAAATTTTCCCTTCACTATTTCATAGCACAGCTTGAGGGGATTCTGTTGAGAAAATAATGTGACATGGTAATAAAATAACCAAATATAGATATAAGTTCTTAACAGTATTCATGTGTGGGTGAATCTTGCATGGCAAGGCATAGTATCTGCAGTATTTGATATATTCCCCCAAAAATATTAACAATATTCTTTCATTTAACATAACAATCTACAGCGATGTAATGCATGAAGAATCGTTTATATGCGAGGCAAGCACACTACCTCGCATAGAATTACATCTTCTGAATACAAAAACCAGAGAAACAAGCCATCCATGGCACAGTCCCTGTTAGGTATTAAATTTAAATGTACAGTTTTGTTTATAGTAAATGTCAGAGATATTGATCCAGAAGCTGATGTTTGATTATGTTTTTTTACCATTAAAATGATGACATTCAGTCATCTTGCCTCTGATCGTCAAACAAGTACTTGTCCATATTGAGAGATATTGCTCTGGAACAGCATTATTAAAACAAAAGACCACCGATCCTCCATTTTAAACCAGATCATTAAACCAATAAATCCGTATATCTATGACATGATGTATAATGAATATATATAAGCAGCCTGTCGGCTGAGATAGCTCCGCCATTAGCAATGCACATTTCAATTAAAGATCTGAAGATATCATTAGAAAATGAACAGTATGTATAGTATCAAAGCAATCTGACTTGCTGTTTTCAACAAGAATTCAAAAATATCACTTTTCACCAAAAATGACAAAAATATTCATCAATATTAGATAATTGAAGATATCACCACGAAATGAACAAATGTGAGATACATGTAGGTCCACATGTAGTACCTATATATGTAATATCAAAGCAATCAGACTTACAGTTTTTAACAAGAAGTCGAAAATATCACTTTTTACCAAAAATGACAAAAATATTCATCAAAGTTAGAGAATTGAAGATATCATCATGAAATGAACAAATCTTGGGCCTACCCAAGGTACATATACACCAAGTATCAAAGCATTCAGGCTTATAGTTTTCAAGAAGAAGTCGGAAAAGTAAAACATTGACACGGAAAACGACGCCGACGGACAATCACTCATATGATAAGCTCAGCTCAGAGATAAAAATTTGAAAATAATCAGTCATAGTATGTCAGAGATATGGCACTAGAGCCACATTCATTAAAACAAAATGTCTGCCACTCTTCCATTTTGAATCCGATCTGAAAAACACAATGACGTGCATCAAGAGCCCATAATGTCTAATGTAGGTACAACAGAGACAGAGACCTGGTTTCAAATGCCAGAAATTTTGATGATTTTTCAGCACAATAATGGTTGCAATTCAGCCATCTTGAATCAGATCATGAAACAAGTTGATGTGCAATATTATGTATGATGTATGTGTGAAGTTTGTATGTACCCACACACACACACACACAATCAGGAGGTATGTATGGGGGTCTAAAAACTAACTCTGCGACGCGATTGTGCGACTCAATGTTAAATACTTGCTGATTACCGAACCGTGCGGCATGTCGTCGATAAATACTTGTTTACCGTAGTTCGCGAGCAGTCGGCGAAATAACCATTTAAAACTGAACATTTCTATAAGGCATGCTGTGTACCCTTACATCGATCGACCATTGGGATTCGCGCTGTTCGACCAACCAACCAATAGGAATCGTACTCTTCGCAGAGTGACACTGCGATCCTGTCGCAGAGTGCAATAATCGACATTTGGCGAGTCGCACAATCGCGTCGCAGAGTTAGTTTTTAGACCCCCATACATACATGCAATCAGAGGTCAGTCTATCCATCTGAATAAAGATTAATCATATAAAAAAAATAAAAAAACTTACATGACACAACTTACATATTGTTAGTAGAAACAAAACTTGTTTATTAATAATTACTTACAGATGCATCAAATGTCCTGGTTAGTGTGAGTATTTCATACAAGACACATCCTACAGCCCACATATCACTTTTAGAATTATACCTAATATTAGAATGAGAAATAACATGCATTATACCATGCATTTGAACTATGTTTGTAGGGGTCAAAAACATGCTATGTTAGATACTAAATATGCAATAATTATTCATTAGTTTTTAATTTCGCTAATAAGTAAAATTTGATGAATTAAATCCATGTGAACAGAAAAAACACACAATAAAACCTGTTCCCCTGTCATGTGTGTGTATTAAAAACCCAAGGAAATTGCTTAAAATAGTGAAATTAAAATTCGGTAAAAATATATGCTTTAACAGTACATGAATATAGTAACAATACTACACTTAATATTAGAACAATTTTGTCTATTAAAAATTCTTAAATATGAAAAATTAGTTCATGGACTGGTTTTTTAAGTAACAACTGATTCAAGGAATGTTTGATTTCAACACTGATGAATCAGTCAATATCTGATCCATATGGTTTCTATAGTGGGGGTTAGCACTGTTTAACATTGGTGAAGAATAAAAGTCGATAAAATAAGATTATATTGTGGATTACCGTATATTGTATGAAATTCTAACGTCAATGAATCATTGACTAACCCATGCATCAGTTCTGACAAGTTTAACTAAAATATCAACTACCGGTACGGTACTCTTATATTATAAATACAACTGGTGGCTCCTTGAATGCTAAAAATTTAATAACTGACCTGACTGTGTTAAATTCATATTAGTTATCACAACTAGTCTTTATTGCTATTAACTGATAGAAACATTCTATTTCGAAGGACGCAATAATAATAATAAAGTAATTATTATTATTATTAAATTTAAGGTCACAATAATTGGTCACAACAAGGATGGAGAGCTACATTTACTATTTCATACATATGTACATGCTAATGTAACAACTACATTAAGATCTGGTTAGTTGGACTACCGGTAGTTAGTTTATAAACTCACTTTACTTTACTGGCATTAGAAGGATTTGACAAACATGGATGCAGAAGTGCCTAGGGTCAGAGAAGAGTCACTTGCTCACCTTTCGCCTTTGATTATTTCAGGTGACATGTAATATGGTGTCCCAACGAGCTGAAAAAGAAATACAAACAGTGAAGTATAAAGGATTGTAAACACATATAATCCACCTTGTATGCATGTACATACAGCCTGGCATGGTGACCTTATGGGTGGATTCTTGTCCAAGTGAATTTGCTAACAAAAACACAGTTACTATCTAGTGTTTTCAGTTTTACAGAGATCTTACAGTAAAACCTGTCTAAACTCAACACCAATAGGTCAGAAAAAATTGTTCATTTCACATGGATGTTTGGTTTTAGGCATGTAAGGTCACTGGACAATGAGCTGGAATATTGTGTCAAAGGTGGCATGTTTCAAACCATAAAAGGCTGCTCCAACATGACTATTGTGGTATCAAATCAACACACATGGAGTAAATAGCACCAAGACAGCTGGTCATTACATCATACATATATACATGTCACATAACAAATCACCATGTGTCTAAGCACTTATCAGTGCAAAAGTAATTTTGGCACATGCATATTACCAAACATGAAAAAAAATGTCAAAAATATGGCTGATATCTCTAAATAGATTTCACAGGAGTCTTTATACATAAATGTGAGCAGCATAACAGATGTGAATAATAATAATAAT